GGTGCAGGCCTCCCCGGAGGGGCTGGACGCCGCCTCCGTGGGGGTGCCCCTGGACACGGGGACTTCCAACCGGCCCGGGGCCAGGTAAGGCCCCAGGACTGCGGGGCACGTGGCTGGAGAACGCACGGGGCCTCTGCTCACCGGGTCAGGCTGGAGCTGGCGCCTGGCTCCCAAGGGCCCCTCATCGCTTGAGGGTGGATTTCCGTTTTTTCTGTATCCAGCATGCCTGGCATCCGCTGGTAAAGAAAGGGGGTTCTCCGGCCCGAGCCTCTCCCTGCCATGGCCCCCCGCCTGGCGGGGATGGAGGCTGGGGATGACGCCAGCGCACAGACAGGGGCAGGGTCCATACCCCTCATCGCGTGAGGGTGGATTTCCGTTTTTCTGTCTCCAGCATGCCTGGCATCCGCTGGTAAAGAAAAGGGGTTCTCCGGCCGAGCCTCTCCCTGCCATGACCCCCCGCCTGGCGGGGATGGAGCTGGGGGTGACGCCAGCGCACAGACAGGGGCAGGGTCCATCTGCGCGGGCAGAACTGGCTGACCCTGCCTCAAGCCCTAGAGGTCACCTGCTGCAAGAATCGCTCAGATCAAGGCCCTGGCCGGTAGCTCAGTTAAAGCGAGAGGCCTGATAAAGCTTGCAGGTTCCATCCCCTGGGCAGGGCACATACAAGTCAATTTCTAAATTCAAGTCAGAGGCAGTAAAATTCACTGTCCTAATTATTGAGCTCCAGCTATTTCTGGTTCGGCTCAGCAGCAATACATCTGACTGCTGGTCTATATGATAAATGCCACTTTATTAAAAGTCTACCAAGTGCAGGGCACATGGCATAGCTAATTTCACTTAACTCACAACAATGAGGTAAGGTAAATACTGTCACTGTTTTACAGGTTAGGAAATTATCCACTGCCATTTAGGAAGTTGGTGATGGGTGGGCTCCTAAGTCTGTGCCTTTATTTCTCTCTCTCTCTCTCTTTTTTTTTTTAAATCTCTCTTTATTGTTGAGAATATTACATGTCCCCCACCTTTAATCTCTTCACTATGTAGCCTGGAACAGTGATTCTTGATCAGGGTTTTTTTGCCCCCAGGGCTTTCTTTTTTGGCAGAGTCTGGAGGCATTTGTGGGTGTCAGAACTGGTGGGAAGGGGTGCTACTGGCATCTAGTGGGAACAGCCCGGGAATGCTGCTAAACCTCCCACAACGCACAAGATGGGCCCCCGCAACACCCGGCCCCAGATGCCACCGGTCCTGAGGCTGAGAAGCCCCTACCTAGATGGGGCCGCTGAGCCTTTAGGGATGCTCACAGGACAGGACGCTCCATCTTCTTCCAGATTTGGACCCCGACGGATCCGGGAGGAATCAGTGATGCTTCGGACAATCAACCCCAGCACGGGGGCCCTCCCCTTCCAGTCCCTCATGGTCGCAGACCTAGGCGATGTGAATGTCAATCTTTACAACCTTCAGGACAGCTGCCGCCTGATTCAAGAGGCCTATCAGAAAATCGTGGCTGCCGGCTGTGTGCCCCTGACCTTGGGTAATGGCATCTGCAAGGGCAGGGGCAGCGCTGTGCTCAGGGATAGCTTAGCCTGTGGTCCAACACAGCTGCTTCTCCAGGGCAAGCCCTGGGGAATGTGGGGACAGTAGCATGGGGCCCATTATTAATTCCTGTATCTCAATCCCTGGGGAGAGGGTATTTAAATGTTGGACTAGTGTGACAGACAGGATTAGGTTAGCGTGAGGCACTCACCTCTGTGCAAAATTTAAGGGGTGCCCCAAAAGGCAACAGTATTACTGGTTTTCCTTTTTTGCCTGAGGCTCCTCTATGGCTTAGAACAGCATTGTTACTGGTCCCGTCTTTCTTTAAAATTCGTCATGGATTCTTTTTTCTTTTTTTAAGTGTGTTTGTTAAAGCCGGGGACAGTGAAGCAAGGAGGGGCAACAGGAGAGTCCAGGTGGGGCTGCTTGGGCTCACTGCTTGGGACAGTCAGAGAAAAGGGGCCTGGGAGACAGGATCAGGGGTGTTGTTTTTTTTTCTCATGAAATTTTGTTTTGTTTAATGTTACCTTAAAAGAGTATTTATCTTGATTACTGAGTTTCTCGGCACCCCTTAAATTTTGCATCACCTACCTCACCCACTTCACCTTTGTCCCAGCCCTGGATCCCAGGCCTGGGGAAGGCTGCCAACAGGGGCTCGGTGTGACTTCTGAAAGATTTCAAGGACATTGTGTTGATGACTTTGAGAGAACATGGTGATTTCCTCCTGGGCAGGGTCTACCTCAATGTATCCGGAAGCTTTCCCTCCCCTCCCCTACCTCGCCCACTCTCACTGTAGCATTTACTTCTTTCTGGTTCACAAAGAGTTCAAATGACACAGACCTTTTTGGGATAGTAGTTAATGCTTGCCAAAGAGAGCCTGAGGAGCTTAGTGGTTTCTGGATGGCCTGGTTTGAAATCTCAGCTCCACCGTCCCACTAGCTATTTAGGCCTCATTTCCTCATCTGCAAAATGGGGATAATAATAACATCTACCACTTTCTGTTATGTGAGAGACATATAATAAAAATTCATACAAATAGCCCAGCGTTGTGCTTGGCATAGTTAGAGCTTCAATAAATGTTGCCGCCCTAACTGGTTTGGCTCAGTGGATGGAGCATCGGCCTGCAGACGGAAGGGTCCCAGGTTTGATTCCGGTCAAGGGCATGTACCTTGGTTGCAGGCACATCCCCAGTAGAGGGTGTGCAGGAGGCAGCTGATCGATGTTTTTCTCATTGATGTTTCTAACTCTCTATCCCTCTCCCTTCCTCTCTGTAAAAAATCAATAAAATATATTTTTAAAAAATGTTGCCTATTATGATTATAGGTATGCATAGGAATACTTGTCTAGGCCTGTGCTATCCAATACCGCCGCCACTGGCTTGCATGTGGCTATTTGAATTAAAAGTAACTTAAACTATTATTTAAATAATTAATACATTATTAATTATTGCTTTAATTAAAATAAAAATTCAGTTCCTCAGTTGCATGAGCCCCATTTTAATAGCCACGTGTGATTGGTGGCCGCCATATTGACCAGTGCATTTACAGAACATGTCCATTCATTGCAGAAAGTTCTACTGGACAGAGCAGTTGTGGGCATTCTACTTGTAAGCCTTAATTTAACTTCTTCTTTTAAATGACAATGTAATTTCAAACACCCAGGGCCCCTTTCCTCACGGAACAAAATCTCATTTTAGCTGGGGTTGTAGTTCTTCAGTCTAACAGAAAGGGCGGCAGAAGTGGGCAAGTTGAGGATTGTTCTGTGTAACGCACAGTCCTCTACTCTTATCCACATTCCAGATGTTTTCTTTTTTTCTCGTTGCAGGTGGAGATCACACAATCACATATCCTATATTGCAAGCCATGGCAAAAAAGTAAGTCCCAACTCTCTGGGCCCAAGCAAGGTTTCAAAATTCGGGAGCTGGGAAATGAGTTGTTTGCTGCTAGATGGCATCAGGTGACCTCTGCTGGCTCCAGTTATTGGGGGTGATTGGAACTTCCCCACTGAGTCGCTGCTGTGGATCAAAGCTAAGGTCGGGCTCCAGGCGTCCCTGTCAGTCACCAGCTGGAAGCCAAGACTATTATTAACACTTCTGGCCGCCTGCCCTTGGCCTGGGTCCGCTCTGGGATGCACGCTCAGCATCTGCCTCTGTTTTGGGAAGATGAGCCCCAAACCCCAGTTAACTTGTTTCTGTTTTGCTCAAAGGCCAACCCTAAACACTGATAGGCTCGGTGGTGCTGCTTGTGGAGGAGGGGCCCTGGGTTTTTCCCTGCAAGTGCCCCTTCCCCAGAAGAGCTGGGAGAAGCTGGCTTTCCCAGTAGCAGAAGTCTACCAGGGATTGACTAACTGTGAATTAGTTTGAGAAAGGGACAGATGGGCCACGTTGGTGGCAGCTCCAGAATTCATAGAGGGGAAAGACATGTGGGTAGAATTCTGATTTGGGGGTGGGTGGGTACAGTCTTTTCTCGAGGCTGCGTTTGCCTAGCGTTGCTTTGGATTATGTATTTCTTCTGGGTGGCTAGCAGGGTTGATGAAGATGATGGCGAGAGAGCTGGTCCAGGCTGCTTCTCGGGGCTCCAGCTGGAGGATGGCAGCTGAGCTCACCCTTCGTTGTCACCCGTCCAGCTCTCTCCGTCTGTAAGTGAGGCAGTTCTGGGTGATAGGTAGTAGGTGGCAGCTGAAACACATGTCTATTTTCGGCCTGACTTATCTGAGTTTATGGCTCTGAGATGCGAAGTCATTTGAAGACAGGAACCAGTTGCAAGGCCTGGAACTGTTGCCAGGTCTCCCCTGCTTGGCTACGCACCCTCACCAAGTTCTGGTAGCCTGGAGGGTGGCTGTGCTCGGTCCCTGTGAGGAGGCCTGGCCCCTGAGCTGCCCTGCTGTCACCAGGCATGGCCCTGTGGGGCTGCTGCACGTGGATGCTCACATGGACACGGCTGACAAGGCCCTGGGAGAGAAGATCTATCACGGGGCCCCCTTCCGCCGGTGCGTGGAGGAGAAACTTCTGGACTGTAAGCGCGTTGTACAGATTGGCATCAGGGGCTCTTCCACGACCGTGGATCCCTACAGATACAGCCGGAACCAGGTGACAGACTGCACGCCCTTCCCTCTGTCCCCCGCCTGCACAGTGCCTTCCTCTCCGCTGCTCACTCAGTGGCAGCCATGGACCCCAGAGGGGCTTTAATAAGTTCAGAAAAGGGGAGGAAGGCTGAGTTTACCCCCAGAGGGTCATGTGCAGCAGAGAGGAGTGAGGATGTTGGTTCACGAGGCAGAGGAGGCCTCCTGTTGCTGGGGTGGAGGGACTAGCAGAGATGAACCAACCCGTGGGATGTTGCTGTCTTGGAAAAGAGCTGGGGAGGTCCCAACCGGAGGCGAGGGGATCCCTTAGTTCTCCTCTTCAGACCCGCTGGGCAGAGCGGCTCCCAGGTGAACACATACGACAAGAGCCAACAGGAAAAGCCCAAGGCCCCATGCCAAGGCCGGTCTTCCGGACAGAGCTGTGCAGGAAGTGCTCGAGGGAGCTGGCCTGAGCGTCTTGCTCTTGGCTTGCTGATCCCGTCTCCATAGGTCAGCTCTGACTTTCTCCCTGCCTTGCCCGTCCTCGTCCCTTCATTCCTCACCTGTAACATGGGGGTGGTGGTTCCCTCCTCAAGAAGGTTCAGGGTCCAATATGATGGGTACGTAGCGCTTAGCATGGGGTTGGCCTGGAGGAAGTGCCCAGGCAGTGTGCCCTGCAGAAGCCTTGATCTCCCACTCTTCCATGCCTCCGTCCCCAGGGCTTCCGGGTGGTGCTGGCTGAAGACTGCTGGCTGAAGTCGCTGGTCCCTCTGATGGCAGAAGTGAGGCAGCAGATGGGAGGCAAACCCATGTATATCAGCTTTGATATCGACGGCTTGGATCCTGCCTATGCCCCAGGGACAGGGACACCGGAAATTGCTGGTCTCACCCCTAGTCAGGTACGGAGGCTCCACCCGCGACCATTCGTGGGGGTGAGGATTTTTAACGCCCCGCGTTTCTGGGCCTTGTGGGGAGTCTTCGGGAATCAGGATATGTTTTTTTGTTTTTCTTTTCTCACAGTAGTGATTAAAAAATTGTTGAAAGTCTTACATGTATCCCCTTTTCCCTCCCAGGACAGGGTTTTATAAGCAGGGCACGTAGGCCTTCACTGTCCTCGGGCCACCCTAGGTTTGAATACTGACTCGCTGAGGACCGGGTTTTAGCCAAGGCCCTCATTTTTCCGGGATATTACAGTTCTTCATTCGATTTTCCTGCTGCTGGTTCTGCAGTAGTTGGTCCATGGGAACCATATGGTAGTACCCCTCTCAAGGACATTTTGGGGTTAGATTTTAAAAAAGTATGCACAGTGGGATTAACCAGCTACCAAGGTAGTTCAAGAGTTTTAGGACGACCCAAATAGTTTCCCATAGGCTGTGCTGAGCACAAAGGCAGGCAGGCAGGACTGGAGCGTGGTTATAGTGAGGTCAGCTCCAGGAGGGAAGGCCTTTGGTTCACTACCCTGTCCCTGGAGCCTAGAATAGTGCCTGATATTTAAATGGTAGGTCCTCGAATTTCTCCTGTGAGGACATGAAGGTTGCTTAAACTTAATCATTCTCTCATACCCTCTAAGAAAGGCGGTGACAGCTGCCTCTTCAAAGCCCTTTTCCGTTCCCACCAGAGAGATTTCTCAAACACCTCATTCCTCAGCGTCTCGTCCTTCCGGGCTTTGCACCTGCATAATGGAAACTCCTTGAGACAAAGCGATTCTTCCTACCATCCCCTCCTGACCATGTCTCCCGGCCGTGTCTAACTCGGGGTACTTCGTCTTGGTGCCTTTCCCCTCGGCCTGGGCTGCCCTTCCCCTGCTCAACTGCTTGGTCAATTTATTGCGCTAAGTGTTTCCACCTTGGGGAGGCCTTCCCCACCTCTGCGGGCTGTTACGTGCTCCTACCCTATGCTCCTCTTGTTTTTCCTGAAGTCCTTAGTGCAGTGGTTGGCAAACTGCGGCCCCTTGAGTGTGGCTCTTCCATAAAATACCACGTGTGGGTGCGCACGTACAGTGCAATTGAAATTTCGTGGCCACACTCAAGGGGCCAAAGAGCCGCATGTGGCTTGCGAGCCGCAGTTTGCCGACCAGTACCTTAGTGCATGACATTGAAATGATTGGCTTGCTTGTCCCCATCACCACACTGTGGAGCCCTCCGGAGCAGGGACTGGGCATCGGTCAGCTGTGATGGCCACCAGGGTGCCTGGCAGTCAGTAAATGCTTACTGAGGGAAAGCAATAGTTTTGAGTCGGAAGGTGGGCACGTGTTGGGAGAAATCCACTGAGGCGTCCACTGTTCGTTTTCGTGGCCAATGACTTCCATGTGGCTTGATTGTGGACAGGCTCTGGAGATCATCCGGGGCTGTCAAGGCCTGAACGTGGTGGGCTGTGACCTGGTGGAAGTCTCACCGCCATACGACCCCTTTGGTGAGTAAACAAGAAACCTGTGATCCCTCGGCAGCTGCTAGTTCAAATTTTATTAACCTGGTTAATAGGCAGCAGATGGATGGGTCCTTCTGTGTAACTCGGGAACCTGCTGAGTACGCCCTCCAGTGAAGAAAATAACCCTGTTATTGCGCACCTTACAGACACAGCTAATGAGCTGACAAAAGCCTGGAGGTTGCTGAGTATTATTAGCTTGCCCACCAGTCAGCAAAAGGCAGAAACAAGCCTGCAGCTTAGTGACAGGGTGGCACACGGCCATCCTACTGATATTTCAGGAAAAGTGAATTCCCAAAGGATAAATAATAGTTACTAATATCAATGAAGTGGGGAATTAGCTGGCTTAGGAGAGATGCTCAAAGCAGATGCCAGCCTCATAATTTTAATTTAGAAAACTTTACAGTTAGGCCGACTAACCTCAGAGGATGATAATGAATACAATACACACCATTGTTAGAGGTTTCCTTTTGGGGAAGATCTGTTCTGAGAGTAAACAAAGAAACTTCTGTATTTTAAAGTAATATTTCCAAATGACTGATGGGGCAGAATGCCAGGGAAAGCGGGACCCCGGAAAGGAAGACGAAGGGTGGAGGGCTGAGCAGTTCTGGGAGGTGCGGCCTGGGCTGGTCTTCACACTGGGTTTTACTTCTCTGCAGGAAACACGGCCCTCCTGGCAGCCAACCTGCTGTTTGAGATGCTGTGTGTTCTCCCCAAAGTGAGAGTCGTCTGAACCTTGTGCTCGTCAGCACAGAATAACAGATCGCCTCAAGGACCAGTTCTTAAGCATCTGTCAGTACTACAGAGTTTGTGCCAATAAAACTTTCTGCTCCAAGTGTCAGCGGTGGCTGTAAAATCAGGGCACGAAGCAGAACTTGAATCCAGACCGCTAATATTTCTAGGGAGTTTGAATTAATTTAAAAAAACAGTAGCCCTTGTGCTGTGCTGATTTCTTCCTTTAATGAAAGATGATGGAAGATAAAGGGGGAAAGGATGGAGAAGTCAGTTCAAAGTTATCTAAAAATTGGAGGAATGAAATAAAAAGACTATGAAATAATACTGTATAAACCTCCCATATTTCTATAGTATCTTCCTTTAAAGCAGGGATGGGGAACATCTTTTCTGCCAAAGGCCATCTGTATAGTTATAACATCATTCGCTTAATATAATTCACTCAATATAAATTTATGTTGCTATGAAAAAAGCGCTTAGATTTATTGAATTTCGGGTCCCGCCTGCGGTTGCCTGGGCAGGGTCAGACCAGATTACTTCTAGGTCCTTATACAGTCCTGGGGCCGGACGTTCCTGGCCCTTGCTTTGAAAGAAGGTCACACGCAGATCCTAATGAACTTCCCACTCAAAAGCCCAGGAGGGTACACTAAATGGCCTCCCAGGAGCCCCCCGAGACCCTTCCTCAATCTGTTCTGCATTATCTGCTCTTCCAGCTGCCACACCCTCCAGGACAGTCGTCGCTGAAATCTGCAGTCGCCAAGTGCTGATTGTAAGCACCTGCCGAGTTACACGCAAATTCAGTTTTGCTGGTAATGTGTCCACGATAAATCATCTCGATGCAGGAGCTACCCGTAATCATCACACATTAAAATAGTTTATTTGTTTCCAGTCGGTAATATTCTTAAAACAAAAATAACATCAGCTTTAGTGCCTGTTCACAATACAAAACAAAAACAACATAAAAAGGACACCACTTGCCAAATAAGTTACTTGTTCCTAAGAGTATCAAAAGTGCAAAATATCCACTTTCTTTCTAGGTCTGTCTCAAAAGTATAATCACAAACTGAACAGAGAGTCCGCAGTCGCCACACTTCATTTGTTTACAAGGGACAATGGCAGGTATTAGGATGCGAGCAACATCTCATTCGGTAAAATGTTTTGCATCAGCTTTTAAAGAGTTTTCCTTCACAATTTTCTTGGAGTGTTTGCTTCTAATCCCATTTCCCAAACAAGGCAAATCATTCAGCCACATTCAAATCCTATTTTCTTTATATCAGGAAAACATTTATGTACTGAACGAGGAAGAAATCAACCTATTACGTGAAAACCACAACCAAGTTTCACGGTCAGTGAGTGCTGGCAGCGAGACCACGGTGCCCAGTGGAAATTAGGATTGCCTTGCTCACTGAACCAGCTTAGCTGGGGCTGCCCACCTCTGTGTTAGACAAATCGTGCCACTGACACCTTGGCAATAAAAAAATATTTGGTAAATGGGTGTGTATTCTACAAAGACTTTTAAGACCAGTTTTCATCCCCATCTGCTAAACATGATGCATAGATGCTATCAACCAGGAAAAGCTACCTCTAAGATCATCAATGTTGTCTTTTGAAGATACATATTTGAAAACTAGGAAGTTGAAACCAAAACTGGGTCTGTGTGGTTACATACATTAGGAAGAGAAACGGTGGCATTGGCTGAGCAGACAATGGCTCATACGTTTGACACAAAAGTAAATAAATTAATGGAAACAACATTCAGGAAGAAAGGCTTGGTGGCCACGGGTAAAGTTCATTTTAAAATAAGAGCTCCCAGTGTCCTCTGGCAGACATGCCTGCCCAGAGAGATCTGTAGAATTGGTGGGCTGAAGTATTTACCAGGAATGTTTCCAATCCTATTATCTTTCCTTTCTTAGTGCAAATGGCAGGTGCTTTTTATTTTAATGATGAAATTTTTAAAAATCAAATCTGGGGAGGTTTTGGTTTTCAGAAATTATGGCCAGGAATCCCATTAGTACCAGAAATTAAAATCTACCATAAAAGCAAAACAAACTCATTTAAGTAAACTTGGCCATAAAAGACCCAGAAAACAACTTTGAGGAGTGATGCATCAAGGAGCCAAATGAATCCCGGGATCACTTCTCCCTGGTCAGGTGCCATGCGAGGCGGCCCTCAGAGTCAGCGTCCACTTCTGGAGGACCAGGTGGGGAAGGAAGCCTGGCAGTGGTTCTTCGCCTTCTCCATAAAGCTGCAGACTCCATGACAACTACAGCAATTCCTGGGCTCAAAGAATTGACTACTTGTCACTGTAGCTCAGTATTTAAGTCATTCGGGATCCAAATGGCTTAGTTTAAACCAGTTATGATTAAAGAAAATACTAACTTATTTTGTCCCATCGCTGATTTTGACCTTTCACTTTACAAATTGCCAGTAAGGGGCCATCTGCTTTGACGATGGAATAGACCACTCTTTGAGGCTGTCCACACCCCACTGGTGGTTTTGCCCGAAAGAGAAAAGGGAAGCTCTCCAGCGGCTGGAGTGACCCAGCCTGGCGTCCATCTCACCCCGAGCTCAGCAAGCTGGTGCCAGGACTGACCTGCTACTGGTGGAGCAGCTGTCAGTGAAGAGTGAGACGATGAAGACGAGACATCCACATACAGGCAGCAGCTCAAAGTAATAAGCCTTTTGCAAAACAGGAGTGTAGAACAAGTCTTGGTTCACTTGTCACAAAGGAGGACTTGAAGATACAGCACTTTTGGGGTAACTGCTCAAAATACGATTGCTGGGAAATGTTAGGTTCCTTGATACACAGACGTGACTGGTATTTTACTAAAGAGACACCACTCGTGGCAGGAGGGAATAATTTGTCTTCAGTTTAACATCTACTGGCTTATAGCAGCTTATCTCTACGTTCAGAGAACAAGTTAAAGTTATGGCTCCTAATACCCATACCCTAAGACTGACAGAGGCAGAAAGGCATCTAAAAACATACGCGTAAATGGCTCAAGTCGTTACAGCACTTTCTGCCTTGCGGATCCCTCTCGGCTACTTCTCGTGTTGGGGAGGCGGCTGATGGGACGCTCAGGGAGCGGTCACTTCAGTCACTGCCAAGGCCTCCCTCCTCTTGCCTTGGGAAGAAACCCGAACTCACATGCAGAACCGCACTCATCCCTATGCTTTTAAAACCATGGCTGACAAACTGCAGAGGGGGATACCCCCCAAGTATCCGTTCGCCACTTACTACCAGAAAGACCGCTAAACGTGAGACTGCTGGGACCCGGCCTCTTTCAGGCCGGGGGGCCCAGAAGCTGCTGTGGGCTGTCCCACTGTTACAGCATGCACCGCAGCAGAAGCACAGCGGCCGGGGGCGGGGGGAGACCAGCACACCAGGCTCCTGGTACCGCTGCAGGGCAAATGTCTGTGCTCCCGGGCACAGACACTGGACAGGGGAGGGGGCGTGAGCGCGGGAGGACCGTAGGGAAGAGGGACGAGCGGTCTATTTTAAATAGTGCGGCATTCAGACAGGAAAGAAAATCCCAAAGGAAAATATTTTCACTCTAGGTTAGAACAGGACAAAGCAGGACAAAGGAAAGGTTCTTCTGGCCACTGCTCTAGAAGAATCATCTAAAACCTAGACTCTGTCCGTGGTGATAGTTTGAGTCCTGCAAATACCTGTGCGCAGGGGCCTGCAATGGGTCTGAGGCGTTCCAGTCTCTCGCTGCTGCCCCTCAGTCTAGCTCAGGCCAGGACGGGATGTAAAACCTCTGCAAGGAGCCTTCCAACAGGCGCTCCATCCACAGGGACAGCTTGCTCAGTTTCCCTTTGATGGGCTTGGACCCAAGGCTGCCGGCCTGCCCTCGCGCTTCCCCCGGGGGCAAGGAGGGGTCAACATCACTTGCCCCCAAGGCTTCCTCCTCTTCCACGGCTCTCTGGGGCTTGAAGAGGCAGAAGTATTTCTTGTGGCCATTCAGAGCCAGCACATAACCCGTGTAGTCACGTTCCAGGAAGTGCTTGTCATACTGGTTTGGGATCGGGGCTGCATCCTGAGCAAATTCCAACAAGTATTCCAGCCACTCTCGGTGTTTATCGAGACTCAGGAAGGAGAAGTGCAGGCAGCTGCTCCTGTGGAGGGAGAGAGGAGGACTGAAGGCTTCCTGACCCTCAGCCGCAGGGAACACCGATACCTGTCAGACTTCATGCCGGGCGGGCCAGGTGCAGACACCACGCAGGATCCTGTGGGAGCTGAGGGCGCCCCAATAGCAACACCCCCCACCCCCGGCCTCTTGCTGGGTGTCACGTCACTCTTAGTGTCCAGCTCCAGGAAAGGACACAAGAGCTGGAGAATAGTCAGTTTCCTGAAAGGGCCCCGGGAAGAACTGAGGGGGCATGAAGTCAAGGGGCAACGAAGGCGCCCTCAGGATGGCTCCCACTTCTGGCTTAGACAGGTCACGGCCAACACGGCGCTGCACGGATAAAGCTCTCCCGGCCCAAGAGGAGAGGATGTAACTCCGCGCCGGCCCCCTCCTTCCCAGACGTGCCTGCTGTCTCCCCGTCCCTCCCTCTCACACGCGCTTACCCAGTGAACGTGTAGACCTCCAGAGCGAATTTCTGCAGGAGGCTGGTCTTGGTGGAGTTGGACAGGATGAGGACCACGTTCATGTGGCCTGGCCTCAGGCGCACCAAGTTACTGGTGTACGTTACATCCGTGAGTTCCGTCACCTCCACAAAGCCTTTTCTAGGGGTCTTGCTGTGAAAGAATGTGGAGGAGTTAAGATGTTATCAGGGGCCCGGCTGGAGTGGCTCAGTGGTTGAGTGTTGACCTATGAACCAGGTCACAGTTCGATTCCCAGTCAGGCGCATGCCTGGGTTGCAGGCTCAATCCCCAGTAAGGGGCATGCAGGAGGCAGCCAATCAATGATTCTCTTTCATCAATGTTTCTCTCTCTCTCCCCGTCCCATTCTAAAATCAATAAAAATATATTAAAAAAAGATATCAGGGTAGTAAAATGCCATTACATTTAAAAGAACCAAGCAGAAGAAAACACTATGTTCGGAACATTTGAGATCTTTCTCCCCAGGATACATCATCAGTTTGGCTCAAATAAACCCATAAAAATTCTCTACAAAAAAAAAAAAAGAGCCCGGCTGGCATGGCTCAGTGGTTGAGGGTCGACCTATGAACCAGGAGGTCAGGGCACATGGCCGGGTTGCAGGCTCGATCCCCAGTGTGGGGCTTGCAAGAGGCAGGTGATTCTCTTTCACCATTGATGTTTTTCTCTCTCTCTCCCGCTCCCTTCCTCTCTGAATTAAAAAATACATTAAAAACAAAAACCCACTAATGTTCTAACCCAGCGGTTCTCAACCTGTGGGTCGCGACCCCTTTGGGGGTTGAACAACCCTTTCACAGGGGTCGCCTAAGACTATTGGAAAAACACATATATAATTACATTTTGTTTTTATGATTATTCACTACGCTTTAATTATATTCAATTTGTAACAATGAAATTGGGGGTCACCACAACATGAGGAACTATATTAAAGGGTCGTGGCATTAGGAAGGTTGAGAACCACTGTTCTAACCAGACAAGATATGTTATTTAATACTAGAGGCCTGGCGCACAAAATTTGTTTATGGGTAGGGTCCCTAGGCCTGGCCCTCTGTGTGTGGGGCGACCGGCGGGGCAATCGGGGCCCAGGTGCCACCACCCATCACAGGCGATTGGAGCCTGCTGGCCGGCTAGGGGGAGGGACCGAGAGGTTGGCCAGCGGGCCTTAATCAGGCCATCGATGGGGGCTTGCAGGCTGGGAGCAGCTCCTGCGTTGAACGTCTACCCCACTGGTCACTGTGCGTCATAGCTGACCGGTCATTTGCTGTCCGGTCAATTTGCACATTATGCTTTTATATATATATAGATTCGAGAGCCCAATGCACTAGGAGGATTGGGTGGTCCCTGCTTGGCAGTCCTGGGCCTACAAAGAGATTCTCAGTCGGAGCAGAGCAACTTTAGGATAGGACACACCATTCTCTGCTTCCAGCTCACCTAGCATCTCCCTGATGTGCTTCTTTGTTTCCTGCCCTCACTGTTAAACTTGAGACTGAGAAACCAATGAGGTTGAGCAGAAGGAGGTCTCAGTGAACAGGAAGCAGCGGCGACTTTCCCTGTTCCCACCTCCCACAGCTGGATGGGAACCAGAGTTCTATATACACACGCAGTCAAACTCTGCTTTATGAGACCACACGGGCTGCGGGTCAGCAGCCAGGGGGAGGTGGGCGTGGTATTATGTTAGACCAGGGGTAGGGAATGTCTGGTCCGAGGGCCATATAAAGCCCTCGGAATCATTTGACCTGGCCCTGCCAAGGCATTAGGGGTGAGTTAATTAAATGTTTGCAGGCTCATTTTTAAGTTGATCATTTTGTAGGGCCCTAGAATGATCTTATAAATAGCCAAACAGCCCTTGGCGGGAGAAAGGTTCCCCACCCCTGTGACAGACAAACCTGGTGTTCTCTTTGGTGAAGCTGGACACGGTCCTCTCCTCCTTCTCCTGGGCTTTCTTTTTGTCTGGATTTTTTGACTCTCGATCATAGTTTGAGTCACTAAAGTGAGAAAAAAGGAGTTTTACAAAAAAGGGGACAAACCACCATGAGGTTTGGGCCCTCCCCACAGAAAGCCACGCTGAGAGGCCGTGGAGGACTCACCAGAATGCCTGGATGATGAAGGTGCCGAAGAGGACGAATAAGGCGGAGAAGGCCAGAGACAGGAGGGGTATCATTTCCCGCCTAAAATGAAGACAACAAGCTTACAACCTGCTCCACTCTACACAGGCTGCTGTGACATATCAGTGAATGCTTTTAGGTTTCCTCTCTCTGGCTCAAAAGAACAAACCCCCAAACAATCCCAAACCAAAAAGCTTTCATATCAATAAACACTTTCTAATTCCATACAAAGAGAGGTTCTTGGGGGTGGGGAAAGCAGAGAGTGCCCTCCGACTGTTAGGATTCAGAGATTGCTTATTTTCAGTTTAATTTTGTGCCTCAGTATTACAGGCTGTGCCTAATATATCCTGCAGGAGGCAACAGTAAGGAGGCAATAAAGGATTTAGGTGGTGAGCATGAACAGGGGGGTAAATGGTGATGGACGTAGACTTGACTTGGGGTGGTGAACACAATGCAGTGTACAGATGCTGTGTTGAAGAACTGTGCCCCTGAAACCTGTAGAATTTTATTAACCAGTGTCACCCCCATCAATTCAGTGAAAAGGAAAAGGGGCGTTAAGATGTACCAGGCCAGGAACAATTAATTCCTGACTGGCTTGTACACCTGCACATTGGACTACATGTGTGTCAGGCTCTGTTGTCAGGAAGGGCAGCCAGTGGGAATGAGTCAATTAGCAAATACAAAAAAGTGAAGTGATGGAGAGAAAGAAAAAGGGGAACGGTGTTGAAAAAGTGTAAACATTCTTCCACCTGCCTATGCTGAATATACACTCACGTCAAAGAACAGATCGTTTTCAAAAGAAAAGCAGCAATCCTGCCATTAATAGAGCAAAAGACACGCCATCTCACAACATTCCTACCAGTTGTTGTAATACAGGTCTTCCAACCAGTCTGAGATGTAGGAAAAAGCAGTGACAAACCACCGAATGAGGAAAATCTATTGAGAGAATGAATGACGGTCAGGACGGAGCCCCTGAGCCCCAGTGGGAGAAGTCCTCACCCCAACACAGCGCTGCTGCTGAGCTTCTGTGCAGCCCTGGGAGCCACCAGCCCTGCCCAGCACCCACTCCCCTGGGCCACACGCTTACAGGGGCAAGTTCATCTATCAAGTCGGGGAGCACAGCTTCCGAGGACAGAAGAGTGGAGTCTTTCCGCAGCTGCTCGAGATAACTCAGAAGGATGAATTTATCATTCTCACTCCCTGTCCAGGGGTCCTCCAGGGTCTTATAGACCACCCTGCCTCCCATGTTGCGCCTTTCAAAGATAGACACCTGGGAGAAAAGAGAAAAACCACCAGAATTCTCAAAGAATGGGACGTCACTGTTGTTTGGTTTCTCTTCAGAGAGGATGAGAAAAAGGGTCTAAGGAAGTCAGCAATAAACTCAAACAGACATGGATGAGTATAAAACATTTACAAGAGATTTATATTTTTCTGACAAAAGCAATTATGGTGACTTTTTATGGTGACTTTCTGAAGCTTCTGTTAAAGTTAAAGCTCTTTCTTTTAATAAGCTTGGTTCGATAATCTCTTTCTAATTTTTATAATAAAGAAACCCTTTGTTTTTAGAGAGGTTCTCCATGACTACCAGAATGATGAAGAGAATTTCATGCATCTGTAGAGAGTGATGACAAAGGAGGAGAAAGGAAGGAGAGATCAATTAGGATGCTGTGAGTGCAGGCGGGGATATTTCGACAGCACATTATTGGTAGCCTAAGGAAGATTTTGCAAACTAGATAGGCAAAACTAGACCTGCCATAGGAAAAACTGGTGAAAAGGATTGATGCTCTTCAATCTCTACTCACAGGAAAGGTGCTTTCTGTGAAGGTAAAAGGCCAAAAATCTAGGAGGTGGTCACCAGGGTGAAAGACTTTTAAGAGTAGGCTTTCAAAACAGGCTCAGGGATTTCTGGGTTTCCTGGAATTTGTATTCAAAACTCCCGAGGACACAGAATCGAGTGCCAATGCTCCTCAAGAGCTGAGATCAGGACCAGGATGGGGACCATGACTCACCACCGACTTCCCTCGGAACGTCTCGCTGTCTGGCAGGAAGGCGTTGGCAAACTCTGGCTGCCGATTGCTGTAGACGTGCATGAATCGCAATGTGTCTTGTGAGTTTGCCTGCGCGAAGGACAGGAAGGCCTCAAAGGCTTGACTCGACTTGGTGGCCTCGGGAATCAGTAAAATCACACAGTACCTGCACACAACAGAAGACAGTGTCAGCACTCCCGAGGCATAACTAGAACCTGTGATGGCAAGTGAGGGTGAAGGAGAGGACGTGCTCACGAAGGAACCCTTTGTTTGCATTCACTAAAGACGTGAATGCATTTACTAAAGAAACTCCATGGTCAAAGTCTAACGGGAAAATATTTCCAAGTCGTTCCCGACACGCTTCTTTCCCGGACCACTCTCTACCACTCGCAGGGCTGTCTTCTGAGGCAATGGTCACCGAGTCCTGGATGCAGATGGGCCTTTAAGAAGCCATCTGGCCTGGTTCTTCCACTGCAGGCCGTCTGCTCACCTCTCAGCTCACCGGCCGCCGGGCCTCATTCTGAAGGGCTTCCTTTGCGATGGTTCCACTGGGAAGTTTAGCTTATCATTCACTCATCCACTCTCCCAACATCTCCTGAGCACTTCCTATGATTGTGCCCTTGTAGAGCCTCTATTTGAGACCCGCAAAGACTCACCCCACTATTGTGGGAATAGTGACTCTCTCGTACTCCATGCTTCTTTAAGGAAACATCTCTCCCTGACACCTGGCTGAAGTCTACTCATCCTTCAGGTTTCGGCTGAAGTGTTACACGGCAGGGAAATCTCTGGCCCTGAGGGCAGGCTGGCACACCCAAAACTTAGTCCTAAGGGACCCTGAATTAATACACCCCACTGCTCTAACAGTTGTCAGTCAATATTTGCTACATAAAGAATAAACTCCGACTGCCACAGGGGAGGTGTGAAAGGCCTGTAGGAAAGTGCGCCGTGGCCCCTCCACTGCCACGACAAGCAGTGCAAAGCCCGGCCTTACTTCCTCTGTCGGTGAGACCGCTTCACGGGGCAGAGTTCCTGGAACAACTTCTGGTTGGTGAGCCTGGTTGCTAATAGATACTTGTTTTGGCCGATGAAGTCATTAATGACCTCCTTCTTCGTATGTGGGGCCTAGAGGAAAACCAAGAAATAGTTGATTTTATTCAGTTTTCTCACTGTAAATGAGCTTTACGTACAACTCAATAAAAACGTGGCTCACCCTGGCTATCCTATATAACTAAAGGCTAATATGCAAAGTGACCGAACGGAGGATGACCAGTCGCTGTGACGTGCACTGACTACCAGGGGCAGATGCTCAGCGCAGGAGTTGCCCCCTAGTGGTCAGTGCGCTCCCATAGAGGAAGCGTAGCTCAGCCAGAAGCCGGGCTCTGGGCTGGTGAGCGCAGTGGTGGTGGCAGGAGCCTCTCCCGCCTCTGCTACAGTGCTGGCTTAGGCTTGGACTAAGCCGGCAGTCGGACATCCCTCGAAGGGTCCAGGACTATGAGAGGGCGCAGATGGGCCTTTCAGACACAGGCCGGGCTGAGGGACCCCCAAAGTGCATGATTTTCATGCACGAGGCCTCTAGTTGTAACATAAAAACATAAGAAAGATCTGTTTGAGCAACTAAACATGTGACCTTCAACAATGCAGGGTTGGGGCAATGCTATGGTTATTTCAGGTCAAACGATAGCATGTGCTCCTTCCACTGGCAAACTCTGTATACTGTTTTATGTTGGCAGATTAAAAAACCCAATCATTTTAGGCAAATTTACTTTCGTTTAAGATTTGTAGCAAACTGAACAATTAAATAAAACTCCAAAGTAACAAATTTATCCTATACTAGAGGCCTGGTGCACAAAATTTGTGCACTGAGGGGGCGGGGCAGGAGGGAGGCATCCCCTCAGTCTGGCCTGCACCCTCTCGCAGTCCGGGACCCCTTGCTCCTCACTGCCCGCCTGTTTGCTGCTCCTTACCACTCGGCTCACTGCTCCTTAGAGCTGCTGTGGAGGTGGGAGAGGCTCCCACCACCACTGCTGCACTCGCCAGCTGTGAGCCCGGCTTCTGGCTGAGCGGTGCTCCTCCTGTGGGAGCGCACTGACCACTAGGGGGAAGCTCCCGCATTCAGCATCTGCACCCTGATGGACAGTGCGCATCATAGGGACCAGTCGTTCTGCTGTAACGGTCGCTTAGGCTTTTATAGAGAGAGATTATTATTATGTTGTTGTTGTTGTTGTTATTAATCCTCACCCACGAATGTTTTTCCATTGATTTTTAGAGAGAGTGAAAGGGGCGGAGAGAGACAGAGAGAGAGACACATCGATGTGAGAGACACTCATCAAGTGGTTACCTCCCACACGCAGCCCAACTGGGGCTGGAAACCTGCAACTGAGGTATGTGCCCTTGACCAGGAACCGAACCCGGGACCCTT